CTTCGAAACAAATCAATTTTGGAGACGAAAAACGGCAGAAATTAAGTTTAACACCTAATACTTGTTCACACAGTTAAAGAAATTGATACTCTATGACTCTATGAATATGATTTTAATGAGAAAATAGTATGATAGCTTGTCTTTCACTTGTACATGTTAATTAACAAAGTGAAATTTATTTTTGCACTTTTAACAATAACTTATTTACATTTATGTACTATCTTTTACAGTGGCACATAAAAAATATGATAATCGAACTTCTCGTACCTACATACCAAATGGTACTTTATTCGAAGTACAATACGAATATGGTAAAATGTCCGGATACCTATCTACTGACGTAGTAAATGTAAGTCATCGTCAATAAACAGTACGATTTAGACTCAATCTATAAAAATTTCTTTCAAGACATAAATTTTTTGTAGTTTGCTGGTCTTAAAATTATAAATCAAACATTCGGGGAAGCGATAACCGAACCTGGAATAGCTTTTCTCTATGCAAAATTCGATGGAATCTTGGGAATGGGTTACCCCGATTTAGCTATTTTAGGAGTAACTCCCGTTTTTACTAATATGGTTCGACAAGGCCTGGTGTCGCCGCCAATTTTTAGTTTTTATTTAAATCGGTATGAATCTCTTTGTATTAGGTATTAAACTTAATTCCTGCCGTTTTTCGTCTCCAAAATTGATTTGTTTCGAAGGGAAGATGAATGAATACTTTAATCAAAGTAATTTCCTCCATTTTCTACTTTATTACTAATTAATAATACTTTATTAACAATACTTTGATTAAGGTATTTCCCTTAATTATGTATCACGCGTCTAAAAGTTTGTATAAAAATGCGCCTATAAATCCGTATTTTTTTATTTAAATAAATTGTCTTCTCATGAACAACAAAATTTATCTTTACACGTTGAAAGTATTGTTTTTTCATATTAAAAGATATATAATATGTGCAGAACTACTTCGTTTACGATCGACAGTGATCTGACATTGGATGACTCCACTTATTACGACAGCGAGTATGTTAATATCATTTGAACACGCCAGCATGTTTGAAAATACTTTTTTAGTTAAATAGCTTGTTTTCATAATTATATATTACATTCAATATATTACATAATTTATTTTTCTGTATTAATAATACTATGTTTTTTCATTGAGGAATATGTATAATCTGTACAGAAATTTGTTGGATAATTCGACCGGTAGTGTACTAATATTGGGAGGCTCCGATCCTACTCTTTATGACGGAGAGTTAACATATGTTAATATTACTCGCAAAGGATACTGGCAATTTGCTATGGATAAGTATGTTATTATTTTCTAATTATACATTTATCATTTACGGATTATATACGAGATGATTATTAATGTCGTACTTTTTAGAGTTCGAATGGAAAATAAAACCTTTTGTTCAACTGGTTGTCAAGCTGTTGCCGACACGGGTTTTTCCCGACTAGCTGGACCACCAATGGAGATTTCAATTATTAATAATCGGATTGCAATTGACGTATTTAACGGAGTAGTATATGTAAATTACATATGATATTTTTCGTAATGGCAATTTTCTTTTAAAAATATTTAATAAATTGCTGAAATAAATTAATGAAAGTTTGATATATTATTTGTTATATTAATATGCATTATTAATAGAAGCTAAACTTTGTTTAAAGGTGGACTGTGAACAGATTTATAATTTGCCCAATGTTACTTTTTTCCTGGGTGGTAAACCATTTGTACTCACTGCAGAAGATTACATCATTGTGAGAACGGTGAATATTGTCAAATGAACGTTTAAAGTTTCTGATTACTTACTATGGATCTTTAGATTATAAAGACGTCAGAAACGAGAAAACATATTATGAAAATTCTAAAATATATTAAAATAGAAATATTTATCAAGGAAGCAATACTTTTTAGAATACAACAATATTTGATAGAATACATTTGTAAAATATACCAAAATCTCTCCTCTTATTTCGGAATAGGATAAAATCATATTTATCTCAATTTGACAGCTGTCATTCGTTTCGTTTTTTGATAAACATAATTTAATTTCTAATATATGATTATTTATTGATTATCAGAATACAAGGGAAATTTTTTATGTATTTTACAAATTTAGTCTCTATCGATTATAAATGTTTTATTAAAAATACTCACATATTAATATAATTTTCAAGAATTCTTTATGTATTTTTTCTCGCTTTTGATGTTATAATCCATTGATTGTTGTGAATAGCCAGGAGCTAATTGTTTTAGAATAGAAACATTATATGACATACAATTCATTATAGATCGATGAGATGGATACGACACTGGTATGTTATAGCGCCTTCGAAGTTGCGGCTCATAGTGAGTTTGGTATGTTGTGGATTTTAGGTGATTCATTTCTTGGTCGGTATTATACCGAGTTCGATATGGGGAACGATCGCGTAGGATTCGCTCCCGCAAAATAAATAATGTCTTCCATAGAATACTATTAAATGCTAGCTAGAGTATATAAATGACAATAACATATTACATAAATATTAAAAATAAGTTACATTTTTTTAGGGCATTGAGTCTTTATTCTTATGCTTATTGCGTTGTAAATTTTATTTGTAATTAAGCGATACATTGTTATATAAATACGTATGTAATGTTTTAGAAAATTAGAATGAAAAAATGTTTAATATCATTTTTATCAATTATTTTGAACAGCCTATTTTTTCAGTATAAAATATATTGTTATATGATATGAATATGATTAAGATTATTAAAATAA